TCTTTCTTTCCTCTGCCCTCTCGCTCGCTCTCATTCCCACTCTCACTCTTCCCCTCTCTCCCTTTCTCCCCTCCCTTGCTTCCACGCTCTTTAGCCCGTTGATTTGCTTCCTTCACGCTCGTTTTGGGTCAGACTTACACGGCCTGTGTGCCAATTGGCTGATCCCCTCTTTTCGATCACTTGGACGTGTCCGGGTGCTTGCCCCGTTCATGCATACGGGCAGGTCAGCAGGAACTACGCCAGCACAGTCACTCCATCAATTGGGCATCGATCGATTTTTTATATTTTCACTATAGGGTTTCACCGGTACCGAATGCTTGGCCTGGCCTTTTGCCTAATAACCGCATCAGCCCTTTGCCGCGAGGAAAACCCACCTGGATTTTATAGCCGGACCTGGGACACTTTATAAACCATTTTGGTTTCAGACACCACACACGAGAGAGGAACTGACTGAGGTGGACGGCACAGGCGCACGCAAGTTCCCAATCCCACAGGTTGATGGAGGTGCTGGGATGCAAGCCTGGACAGAAACAGAACCGAACATGGCCACAGGTTTCACCACAGCGGGCCTCGCCGCCGAAAGCATCGCCCTCAGCGCCGGCACCAGCACCGCCGCCAGCAGCAACACAGGCGCTACCGTCACCAACTACGCCAACATTCCAACCGCCAGCATCAGTGAGGTCTTGGACCCCAAAAACCGCTGGTCTGACGGCAGCAAACAAGGCAAGACACCACCGGAAAGAAATGAAAACGGCTGCCCGCTCGATCCTCCCGACCTGGACCGGGTAACATCTGTCTCACAGCGCCGGGCACTCTCGATGTCGCCTAGCCTAGAAGCGTCCCACTTCCACCAAGCAGCGACCCTCGTCCCTGTCAACACCAACGAGACCCAACCAAACGGCAATCAAGTCGCTGCAACCAGGTCACAGCAGCGTCAAGACCTGCAAAGCGCTCGCCTCCAGCGCCGGCCATCAGATCCATCATCATCATCCCGACGATTCGAGCCAGTGTCACCGCCCTCCCGCTACGGCGAAATAACATCTCCATACAGCGACTCGCAGCCACTATCACCTTCCCGAGACGGCAGACCTCAGCCATCGCCAGCTTATGTCTCATCCTACCTGAGCCGTCGCAAATCCTCGAGCCGAAGTTCATTCGGCGCTGCAATTCCTTACAGTCCTCAGACGCACGACAGCCAGGACGCGCAGTATGCTGAAATCTCGCCAGGTTTCCTAACAGACGAGGCCCTGTCACCAAAGCAACTGCCCTCGGGTCAGCGAGAATTACTCCTCCCGAAAACCCTATCTCAACAAACGAGCCAACCAGAGGAGCGCCGCGTTTCTTCACACCACCCGCCAGTGTCGTACAAGCCACCGATTAACGCGACCGCGCAACAGCCAGGCAACGCGCCGCCTGTGCGTGTCCCCCCTATTCGAGCTTTTCGCTCATCTGGCTCTCGCAAGAGCTTGACTCTCGACATGAACTATAAAGACTACAAAGACTACAAAGGCCAGTTGTATGAGTCAGGTGACGAGTCGAATGAATCCAACCACGATTACACTCTTCGAGCGCTAGAAGGTCGATCAGCCCAACCTCAAGACAGGGCAGAGATAACGCCGCCTATGTCTGCCAAGCATGATACCTCTGACGCAGATGACGGTGGGGATGTTTTCCTTAAAATTGCTCGCGAGGAGTCGATGCGGAGATCCTCGAATCGACGCGTGACGGAAGACATACAAAGCCCAGCGGTAAGTCTCAAACTCTAAAATCCCCCTCACCTCGCCTCCCCCGCTTCCTTGTCTCGGCCATCTACATCTGGCCTGAACTTCCCACGTGCCTGGAAGAAACCTGCAAGTTCCTGCAAGTACACTTTGAACGACCTGATTATACGAGGACACTGCCGATTTTTGCCTGCCTGCATGCGCATATCAATGCGGAAGTCTCGTCCGATCTTGCATGGTTACTTCTTTGTCTACTTCATTGGCCCTATATAACTTCACCCGCCGTTGTTTTTTTACCTTCGGGCCACCTTGACACAGGCGATCTTGTGTGGCAAACCGGTCTCAAGATGTTGGGCTCGCCATTTGATATGGACTTGCTAACGCTGCAACAACAGTCACGAGTGTTCCGCTCGCACAGGCGTCCTCTCTCTACCACAGTGGCCGCATACCAACCCGACTCGCCGCCACGCATTGCCCGACGGTTGTCGGACCAGGAACAGTCGTCCTCGCGGCGCATGGATGATGCAGTCAGTGAAATTGCTCGAACCCTAACTCAGAGGTCCATGAGCCGGGATAAGGCAATGTCTGCCCACCCGGCGGCTATGGATGATGCAGTCAGTGATTTTGCTCGAACCCTAACCCAGAGGTCCATGAGTCGGGACAAGGCAATGTCTGCTCACCCTCTGGATGATGCAGTCACTGAGATTGCTCGAAACCTAACCCAGAGGTCCATGAGTCGGGACAAGGCAATGTCTGCCCACCCGCTCGACGACTCACACCACCGTTCAAGACACAGCGGCAGCGCTCTGCGACCTTCCCCGCTTACCCCTCGATCAACCACTCTCCCTGATTCTCTCTCGGACAATCCTATCCACACACGCCGGCGATCATCCGTTACGGATCAAAACACCACGCCTCCCACACGATCCACAACATACCGGTCATCTGGGAGTACTGTCCAGGTGCATGGGAAGACATACCATTCCTCTCCTCTGGTTCGCTCCTTCGATCTCGTTGCCAATCGCAAGGAAGAGCCTGCACAGGCGGTAGAGGGTACTGAGTCAACCGCGTCCACCACAGCCCCGTCAACAGTTTGGGACGAACTAGACGATCTTAAATCCCGAATGCGTCGCTTAGAACTGACCGGCAAACTTCCACCCACATCAGGAGCAGCGGTTTCTAGGCTTACTGACGAACGTCCTCCAACTGCGACCACAACCGTCACAACAGTATCCTCATCGCCCAAACGGGTCGTTGTTGCGTCGCAAGCTAACGACGGTGCGAGCGCGGTAGGAACTGCTCAACATGAGTCGTTTCCTGTTCTTCACTCTGCATTGGCGAAGTCAAAGCCGTTTTTGAATCCGGAAATTTTCCGAGCCCTCGAAACGGCTGCAACCGAAGCCATGTCCTTGTCTTCGATGATGGGAACCTCTGGACAGCCGGGGCCCATCTCAAGCGGAGCTAGTGGCATCGGATCGGGAGGCAACATTACAGACCGCCAACTTCGTCGCAAGGCAGATAGTGTGTGTCGAAGCCTGACAGAACTATGCGTTGCACTTGGGGAAGACGTAGCTCATTCCCGCCCACCACAGGTGTCACATTCGCAAAAATCATCTCTCAGCAAACCCCAAGTCCAACAAGCTCCTCAAATTGCTCAGGAGGAAGGTCCAAGAACCCCAACCATTAATAAGAGTTTTAACACGATGACGTCCTTGTCGTCCCAGAAGCGTCCCAGCATGGCAGCTGAGGGCTCTGCGTCAAAGCCATCAAGCACTGTGACAAGCCCTAGCCGTGCGTTGTCCAAATTTGAGGAGAGGCGCAATACATTACTGAATGCGAATACTTTGCCTAGCCCTCGGGCTACTGGCTCTGGCCCTCCCACGCCGCAGGACGCAAATGCAAACCGACGCTCGTCTCTTCTTGTGGCCAGGTCGCGCCGTGCCGTTACCGAGGAACCGGAAGAAGTAACCGGGAGAAGATCTTCTCTCCTGTTGAGAAGTAGGCGTGGCGCGACTGAGGAGCCTGAAGAGAGCCGTCAGCCAGAGGGCCGTCAGACATCTCTTTTATATCGAACTCGCCGCGGTACAGCGGGAGAAGGTGATGATGAAGCGAGATTTACCACGCCGTCTCGAGCTTACACTGAGGTGAATTCCTCAAGAGGCCTTGGCCGAGAGTACACAGAGGTCGCAACCTCATCTAGGCTCCCGACCAGAGATTTCAACCCACAAAGCCAGCTCTCACCACAAGATGCCTCACACACCTCTGCTCTACCGCGGCGCCGATTTATGTCTGGAACTACAGGCATCAGCCGGCTGGCTACACCAGCAGCTCCAACTACGACAACGCTCCCCACGCGCAAATACGTAGAAAGATCGACCCATGAGAGAAGGGATTCCGTTGGAGCCGAGAGGACCGAGAGGAGCCAGAAACGCTACTCGCTGGGGGCAAATACAATTCTTACCAGTGGAGTCAGCCTTGGCCCAAGAAGACAGAATCGTGACAGCACGATACCTAATATCACAACGACTACAGCAGCCGGGAACTATCGATGAAGCCCCGAATAACGAAAGATGAAGAGCCTGGAAAACGTCATGACTGTACAAACATGTTTTGTTTTCTCGTAATACCGGCGTTGATTTTATTTTTGTCTGGCTTTAGTACCCATTTCCTCGTCGTTTTTTCTTCATGAGAGCGACCATGGCTTTTGCTCAAACCGGTATGGACATGAAAAGGCGTTTGCTTCGTTCTACCACTGTAGATAGGCGAAGGCGTTCAGTTGGCGCACACAGCATATGCAGCTCTAGTCATATATTATCCTAAAACCGTGGAGCGCAATGTGAGCGAGCTAGTTGGGCAACAACATTGGCTCTTGTATATGTACTCATTGATAGCTGGTTAGGAAGACTAATGTATTTATTTAATTTGGACTACAAAATAATCGGATTTATTCTTCATTTCATTTGCTTGGCTATCGTGAAATAGTCTTCCAGCTCCAAAAACTGGCATTTGAGTGGCTCATGCTGACTCACGCCGACTCACGCCGCTTGTGGCACCCACCAAACTTGAGCCACACATCAAGCCTTCTTTCGACGCCCAACGTATAAAGCAAGACTGGGTCACCACGGAACGAAGATTCCAATCTTCCCGAACCTGTATTTCTGGAATTCCCGCATCTCTTCTGCGCCTGAAACCTTCTCTCTCTCTGGCGGTCTTCCCACATCTCACACATCGGACTGGAAATCTTATTCAGCCAGCAAACTGCTTCTACAGTAGTGAAACATGGCCGACAACGACGCACACCATGACCTAGAGGAGAGAGCTCACAACAGATCAGGCGGCAGAAGGGGCGGCGGGGGCCGTCGAGGTCGAGGCGGAGGCGGGGGCGGGATGAGTCGGGAGGTCCAGATCTCCAAGGCGCTCTCGAGGCTGCTCAGGCACCAGGCGGAGAATGCTGGCATCACGCTGGACGGGGAGGGGTATGCTCCTCTTGATCGGGTGGTGAGCTTGCCCTGTGCCATTAGATATTTGTTTCTATGAATTCAGCAGAAGGGTTTTCATTTCCATCGAGTGGGAGGCGGGCGAAAAAACTCTGTCCGTTTTTCTTGTATTTGATACCTGTGCTAACTGCTATGACAGCTCGCCTGGGGACCCCTCCGCAGCCTGCAAGTCTCGTTCGAGGACATCCAGTCGGCCGTGTCGAACAACGAGAAGCAGCGGTTCGCGCTCAAGCCGAACCCGGCGACGAACCCGGAGCTGAGCGCGGACAGCAAGGCGCCCTCAGATTACCTCATCCGGGCGAACCAGGGCCACTCGATCAAGGTCGAGTCGTCGGGCCTGCTGGTCCCCATCACCGCGGGAGGAGGAGAGGGGGAGGCAGAGGGGAACCTCCCTGCAAAGGTAGTGCACGGGACGTACTTTGCGTTCTGGCCGGCCATCGTGGGGGCCGGCGGGCTGAAGGTGATGGGGCGGAACCACGTGCACTGCTCGGAGGGGACGCCGGAGGACGGGGTGGTGAGCGGGATGAGGAGGGACGCGGAGCTGATGGTCGAGATTGACCTGGAGAGGAGCATGAGGGAGGGCGGGTTGAGGTGGTGGAGGAGCGAGAACGGGGTGATCTTGACGGAGGGGGATGAGAGCGGGCTGGTGAGCTCGAGGTTCTTCAAGAAGGTTACTTCGCGGACGGAGGATGTTGGAGTGCTCTGGGAGGATGGCGCGTGGGTGGCGGATCTGCCTGCGGGACTGAAGGTGAGAGTTCCTCACGGGAAGAGACCGGGCGGTGGAAGGGGTGGGAGGGGAGGTAGAGGGGGGAGTAGAAACGCATAGTGGTGATGATATTAAGCTGGGATCACTTGGAGATATTGTGGAACGAAAGATATGAAATAGGACTTGCAAAAAGCTATCCCATCTGGCTGATACAGGCAGTGAAGAAAGGAGTACGTGACGGTCGTTAAACTTATAATAATCGGATCGCAGGAAAGAAAATACAAAAAAGATCGGCTGCAACCAGTGACCAACTCTCAACTTGCTAATGAAACCCATTGCCCTTTAGTAAATCAAAGGTCTCCTCCCTCTCCTTATTTTCCTTCTCCAGCCAAGCAAGTAGAAGCTCGTTCAGCTTCTTCTTCGCTGCCAACTGATTTGGCATGTTCTCGACGGGACCAACGTCGACGCCTTTGTAGCCAGGCCTCAAGCGCAACTTCCCACTGAAGAGTTGGGTCGAGTCATCCCACTCAATCCTATACTCCGGATGCTCCAGATTGAGACGCCCAGTCAGCCAAACAATACGTTTCTCATTTTCTTTGTCCTTTTCGCTCCGTGAAGAGGGAGAGGATGACGGGCCCGCGTTCCCATACGTAAACGCAGGAGCAGAGTCGTCAGCGTCTTCAACCTTGACCCTCTTCGACCCCGCGTGGAACGAGGCTCTCATTTCTTGGGCTTCTGGGACAGGCGAAGCCGCCCCGGACAGGTTGCCCATGGACGACGACCTTGACAAGGGTGGACTTGGGCCTCCCGCGCTACTCTCATTGTAACTGGAGGAAGCAGACGTACCACGTACAGCTGCAAGAGCATGTTTGGCAGCAAACTGCCTTGCTTTCTACAGAATCGTTGTATTAGCAAACGGTGCACAGTTGAACTGAAGAACAAATCTTAGTCGGCATTACATACCTTCTTATTCTGGAAGCAGGGCTTATGGTTGTGAGAGTAGCCGTGGCCAGCACGAGGAAACTTCCCATAGCCTTGCACTGAGCAGACGGACCGCCACAAAATACTGTTGGGGGTGCCGTCTGGTCCTGGTTGAGCGACTTCCTCATCTTTCCAGTGGAGATTATTCGACATTTGTTTGCCCTGTAACGCGACTGTTGGTTGGTGTCAGTAGATCAGCCCTAAAGGAAAGAGAAGACTGGCTGTTTCCGGGGATCGGTTTTAGTGGTGCGACATACTGTTCAGCTCGCTCAGGTAGTTCTCGTTGCCAATGTCCGGCTCGGAGACTGCGGAGACGAGTTCATTGATGGCTGCCAGCTGCCTTTGGCTCAGTTTGGCTGCTTGGCCATTCTTCCTCTCCCAGGCTTCTTGCTGGTCGATCCAACGACGCAGCTGGTCCCAGGGAGCTGCGGGAGCGCGAGCCATGATGACGAGTTGGTTGGATGAGAGGATGAGAGGATGAGAGACAAAATTTCAGGTCGAGGGCGGGAGGAATAAGATTAAAGCCTGTCAATGTTTTGCGGGAATGGCTGTGTGAGTAAAGTAAAGGGCTTTGAGTTTCTTATATGAGAAAACTGTGGGGTGAAGGCTGTATGAGGGCGCTACGCCACTGGGCTTTGGATATTCTGAATGAACTCAAAAAGTCAGATGCTGAGAGATAGGGAAGAAGATGCGCTCTGGTCCGGATGAACCAAGCATTCTTATACTTGGCCGTCCGAGGGGTCGATGTCCATTTGGCGGTAGACCGAGAGAGAGAGGGGAGAGAAGATTGGCTAAGGCCTTTTCCTGAGCTGCGCTTGGGCGCCTCCCGGAGTGGCCTCCGAGGCGTTCCTCCAGCCTGCATCGTCCGCATATCAACATGCAACTTTACGCTGCCCTCCCGAAGCTTCTAGACTGGAAAACTGCGATCTACATTTTTCAATTTTTGAGGACCGAATCTGCAATCAGGACTTTTTCTAAATAGGCATTCCGGCCAGTTGCGCGGAGGAAATAGCCCGATCGCAACACACCAAATTGTGAGCGTCTTGTCTGTCATGCTACGATCAAGACCAAGTATACATCACTGAGCATCGCTAATTTCTTATAAGACATTTAATGCTTTTGAACATGTAGTTTTGATGATTTCTAACTGTCGATGGCCAGGCCTATTGGAACCAAAAGCTTACCTACCAGTTGGGTACTAATGAAAATGGTAAGCACATATACACCTGCAATAACTGCACTTTGAAGAAATGACATCTTCATGCTTAGACGAGTCAATGTGTGGTTCCGTTTTCTGTTAGAAAGCGTACCATTGCATGACTGGGCACAGCACAATAAGACCTATAAGATCCCTGATGAGTATATTCGGGACGCCCGCGAGCATCGAGGCCGCTCCAATGAGAGACGGGCTTTCTTTTAAGTTATCATATTTACTTGGTATATATGGCGCCATCTGCATCTTAGGCATCCTCGAAGAACCCCTCACCGTCATCCTCATCACCATTGGCGGGTGTTGCAAGCTCGCGCATGAGCCGTCTCCGTTCTCGCCTGTTCATCGCTGGTGGATTGGCACCCTTCGCTTGTGACGACGAAGGCTTGTGGCTGGCTGGCTGCTTTCCTGGGGCTTCGGTCGGCGTCTTGGTTTTATCCTTGGCCGCCGCGCCGCGATTAGGTCGTGGAGCAGGCTTCTTTTGCTTTTGAGTGTCATCGCCAGACCTCCTCTCCCTCAATCTCCTCAGCGCATCAGGACCTTCTTCCAAGGCTGCCTCGACAGCTTTCCACATGGGAGGCCGTTCGGTATGCAGCAAGGAGCTTGCCGAGTTGACCCCGCCCTCATCCCCCTCTTCGGCATCATCTGCATCATCTTTGCCGGATTTGTTGGGATTTGCATACAGACTAATGTAGACTTCGGCGTGAGGGTGGTTGACCGCGTATGCCTCATCAACCTCAGCAATGTGTAGCTCGTGCCGTAGCTTCTCTAGTTCATCCTTGTCCTCGCACTTGTCAATCCTTTTCCGGACCTGCTTCGCTAATCGTATTGCCTTTTTCCGTTCTAGACACCGAAAGAAAAAAGAGGTTAGTTGGTCCATAGGTGGTTGGGCTCAGTAGATATGTCCCTACCGAAAAATCGAACCATGTGATATTTTGAGATCATTGCACTCCGTTTCTTTTGGAACGTCTTGTCCTCCACTGTCGCCTTATGAGATTCCAGCTCTCTCTCGAGTTCATTTTTGACATTGGCTGGAAGGTCGTGATTCTTCTGGAATAGGCGCTCGATTGTCCGGGCCCGTTTCTTTGCGTATTCGATGCTTCCCTCTTTTGCCCTGTGTTTTGATTTGCCGTTCGGTCGCTGCTTCTTGACCGATGGGCCCGATCGCCCACCAGAATGCGAACCGATCTGTGCATTCTCGTCGTCCAGCTCTTCGTGGGGTCGTTTGGTGCCCATCGTGACGGTGTTCGTGGTGTTGGACAATATGGAAATTCGCCCAGAGTCGCTCGCAACTTTTTTTCTGGGGTGTAATTGCTTATCGCAGCGATACGCCAGTCTCTTGTACCTGCCGCCGCTAGCCTGCTGCATATAGCAAGTAGAGGGTACGAAGACTTTTTGTACCCGGTTGAGCGTGTAAATGTAAAGCTTTTAGCCTGTATTAGGTTAGCGTCGCATCGACCCTCACTCGCCCCAAGATCCGTCCAAGCTCATGAAGCTAGCTAGAACCACCTCATGAAGAGCGTCATGAGTATCGGCGGTTCGGCTACTCCCCCAAAGGTAGTCAGATGAGAACTAGCCACTGCGCCAAGGCTCAAGATCTTCAATTGCCCACCAGCAGAAGGCCCTCGTTGCTGCGTGCCTGTTCTGTGACTGGACCTTCTACATCTGCTCTCAGCGCAGTGAGCCATGCGACTTATATGGTGACACCCAATGGACATCAATCGTGTCACATGAACCAGTAGATATCGCTTCTGGGCAGAGTTACTTGGTCTCTCTCATCCGCAACACTCGTGCACTTATTCTGGAGGCGGCGCCGTCGCGTGTTTACAGGCCATTGTGTCTGGGCCAATTGCTGATCAATAAACCCGTATACATAATCACTCCATCTTGCCGCCATGGACCGCCCGGAGCCAGGTCTGGTCAAGTGGTCAGCCAACTCGTCCGTCGACAGTTTTGTTCACATAAACTTGCAGCACCGAGTCGTCCAGGTGTATGAGCCTACCGGGCACGCGCGCAAAGGGCGTTTCGAGTACAACAAGACAAGTCGCCATGATGACTTCCCCCCTCTCACCACCTACGATTGGTCTCCCACAAATACGGGTTTGCTGGCGGTTGGAACAAACACGGGAATGGTGAATCTGCTTCGGATTGACGACGACTCCAATGCGTTTGCCGAGTTGGGTCTCAAGATGACCAGGACATGTCAGGCTGTTGCTTTCAACACCACTGGCCTCCTGGCTGTTGGCTTGGACCGTGTTCGCATGGACCAGAGTCTGCATGTTTGGGATGTTAATCGTCTATCAACCTTTGGCAAAACCCAGAAGAAGGACCTCTTGCAGGATATTGGGGGGATCACAGAACCCAAACATCGACTGGAGCCTAGTGTTTCGATTTCCAGCATCAAGTTCTTTGAAGACAGCCCCCAGACTTTAGTGGCAGGCATCAAGGCTCAAGGTCTCCGCATACACGATCTTCGAGGTAATGTTGACATGCTCCTATTAGCGCACTCCATCTTGCAGTCTGCGTGCCGTACTCGGTTTTTATATTAACGGGGACGATTCTTTCAGATCCCAATAGCATTCTTCTGTTCCAAACCAGGTGCAATAACAATCTTGCTATTGACTATGCGGATCAAAACTACTTTGCGTCGTCGGCACTAGATCAACCAGGTGTTATGATCTGGGATAGACGCGCCACCTCCCGTCCCGTCGCCTCTCCAGCGTACACGAAGGCGGTCGATGAGGACGAGCTTGCCTGGGGCGGGGCCTTGCGACTAGACAAGGTAATAGAAAGCGATTCCGACACAGAAGGAAAGCATTCCCTGATTCGCTCACTACGCTATTGTCGTGATCGCCGTGGTCTCCTCGCTGTTTTGTCACGAACCGGCCAACTCCGCGTCTTGGAGACGGATAGGGAAACTGGTCCTCCAGGTACAGCACCTTCAGATGGCCCAGAGCTTCTCAGTGTTTGGAAATCGCATGAGATGGATCTGTCTTATAGAGAAGTCTCAAGGAGGAATAGCCGTATTGTGTCATTTGATTGGGTTACATTGCCGTCGCCCGCTTTCCGACCAAGGCTCCTCGTATTGAGGGCGAATGGCAGTTTTGAAATTCTGGAGAAGCCATCAAGCTCTGCAGACCATCTATTCAAACTGATCCCCTGGCAATCCCCTCATAGAGGGTTGGAAGGTATGAGAATAAATCAACCGCCCGCTCTTTTGATATTTCATTGCTTCTCCGGCTAACTCTTATGCTGCTCAGAGGGGACGCCGTATCTCGATCTAATGCAATTTGAGCCAGCACATGCCCCAGATATGCTTGCATCTCTCACGACTGACATTGCACTCTCTGAAGTGCCCGTCTTTGGACCTCAAAACCCCGATTCAGAATCTGACCCGAGGGTGATATCACGTCCAAACCTCACGACGCTGCCAACGGTAGAATTAGCCAATCCCCTCAGCGCTTCGCTACCAGATTCCTTCTATGAATCCTCTACTGTGGCTGGAAAGCTTCGTGCCCTGCGTAATTTTGTACGAGAGCAGGTGGAAAAATCGGACGATGCGGACGCGGTCTCAACTCAGTTGGGCAATTTGAAGCTTCTAAAAGATGGCGCAGAAGATATTCCACTCGCCTCCAACGGCTATGGATCTTGCCGTGAGATCCATGAAGCGCTGCTCTCTACTCTCAAAGGCGCACAGGGTCTTTCAAGAGAGGCGCAGAGCGTCGTAGATCATGCCATGTTGCTACGCGCCAGAGAGAAATATCTATTTGATGCAGAACTGAACCGATCAGTAGTGTCAGATGACCCTTGGACGGGTTTCGCCTGGAACTGGATTGCAGGTACGTCAACATCACTCGCTATACGAAGAATATGATTGGAGAACATTTACTAACATTGGCTCTCGCAGACGCTGAGCATGCAGCTGATGAAGGCGGCATGATTCTATCAAACCTCGATTTGAGTTATCTGGGGATATACTCTATCTGGACCAACTACTTAGGTATGTCCTACGGCCGACTTGGGTATTGGAAAACGGATGTTAATGTTCACAGGTGAAAATCCATCAACGCGACTAACCCCAGGATCAACTGCCCCTGATGCTTCTCAGTGGGAACGGTTGATTGGCGCTTTTTGCAAGAAGAATTATCTTCCGAAATTTGAGGGTGTCAATACCAAAAAGCCTCATCATCGCCAGCTATGTCTGCTCATGTGCGGATGGGGAGATGCGCAAAGG